AAATCCAAAGAAGTGTGAATGGGCTAAGCGTCAGGTGTTATACCTGGGACATGTGATTGATGGAGATGGGGTCAAACCGGAAGATGCCAAAATAGCAGCAATCAGAGATTGGCCAAACCCCCGCACCTTGACTGAGTTGTGGTCGTTCCTTGGGTTAGCCAACTACTATCGAAAGTTTGTAAGACACTTTACGATAATAGCTGCTCCCCTTCGCCGATTGCTTAAGAAAGAAGTAATCTGGAAATGGGATTCAGACTGCACGATGTCCTTTAAGCGTCTGAAGAGGTGTTTGGTCAATTATCCAGTTCTTAAAGTGGCAGACCCTTCTTTACCTTTCGTAGTCACAACCGACGCTAGTCAATATGGTATAGGTGCTGTACTCCAGCAAGATGATGGGTATGGGTACAGACCTGTAGAGTTTATGTCTTGCCAACTGCCTAATGAGAAGGTGGCCGCTTCGACGTATGAAAGAGAGTTGTATGCACTACGTGAGGCTCTCAATCATTGGCGACACTACCTTCTAGGCAGACATTTTAAAGTGTACTTTGACCATGAAACACTTCGCTGGCTCAAAACGCAAGCTCGAATGACACCTAAGTTGACAAGGTGGACTGCGGAAATTGATATGTTTGATTTTGAATTGAAGCCAGTAAAGGGTAAATATAATGTTGTTGCTGATGCATTAAGTTGTAGATCAAATTTTTTTGGTGCTATTGTGACTTATCTAGATGTAGGTGCAGACCTACAAGAAAAAAATAGAAATGCGTATTCCTCTGATCCTATTTATGGAACCATGATTAAGCTAGTGCAAGAAAAGCCAACAGAGTTTCCCGATCATAAAGTAACTCAGGGTCTATTGTTTGAACGAACTAACATGTATGATAGGCTGTGTATACCGAATAATGAGGAGATCAAAAGTATGATCTTGGGGGAATGCCATGATACAGAAGGTCATTTTGGGTGGAAGAAGACCTATGGGACCTTGTTACGCTCCTACACCTGGTCTCGAATGAAAGTGGATTGTATCGCGTATGTGCAGGGTTGCCAAGTATGCCAACGAAATAAAAGCACCACGCAATCGCCCCTCRGGCTACTTAAGCCCTTGCCTATCCCTACCGGCCCTGGAGACTCTGTCTCTATAGATTTCATGGACACTAAGGTAAAAAGCAGAAATGGGAAGACGCAAGTAATGGTCATAGTGGATAGATTCACTAAGTATGCTGTTTTTGTAGCTTTACCTGCAGAAGCAAAGACTGAATTAGTAATTCGGGAATTCTTTAACCATTGGGTAAAAGACTTTGGACATCCCTTAACTATTGTAAGTGACAGAGATACCAGGTTCATAAGTGAACAATGACAACAACTGATGGATGTATATGGTTCTAAGTTGACAATGTCATCAGGTAGGCATCCTGAGACTAATGGTCAGACTGAACAGATGAATAAGATCTTGCAGCAGACTTTGCGCATGTTCATTCATCCCGACCAAATTGACTGGGATGAACAGTTGCCTAAGGTTGCTAGTGCCTATAATAACTCTGTGCACCTATCTACGTGTAAGACTCCTATGGAGTTACATCTAGGATG